GGATCTTCAACACTGTCAGTGTCAGTCAAGTAAGTCAGTGCTTCCATGTGATGGTTGAGAGACTCGGCGCATCAGTAAAGGGCATTCCAACAAACTTCAGACATTCATCAACAACTGCCTACTCTGACTCGTTACTCAAGCTCTGATGGATTGTCAGAGTAATGAGAATAAGCAAGGTGGAACTCTGGTTGACTGGCAGGCAATGAACCAACGAAGTAAGCAGCTATCACTGAACAAATATGCACTGGAAGGAAGTGGAGATGGATTGAATTGGCGTGCACTGAGAAGACCGACTGGTGAAGTTACGCGTCATGTGAGTTGGTCGAGTGGTACCCATATGGGAAACGCCGAGCTGGGCGTCCGAGATGAGGGTGACATGGAGGAAATGGTGTGAGGAAGAAATGAGAGGTTGTGGGTAGTCGTGTAGCCATGTTGAGAAGATTTCGTAGAAGAGAGTGTAATGGAGACGTGCTAGTGAAGCCCTATGTTCCATTTGGAAGTCAAGGGACAAATAATACTAATAATTATAATAATCGACTATATTCAGTACTGCTCTATGGTGAATGCCAACATCACTTTGTACTGGAAGCTAGAAAATTATACCTCTGTTGGACCCAGAATCCTGGATATTAACATAAATTACCATATACTTTAATTTGTCTGTTCCATACTGAATGAACTACCAGTTCGATTTTTATCAATACTTCCTTTATCACAGGTAAAGGGTTAAGAAAATTTTTATATTTCAAGTGAAAATAAAACTGAATTTCAGAAGTTTTCACGGATTCATTGATTTCTACGTGATATTCATCATACTAAGATGAGTCATATGTCCAATCCTCTGAGGTTTTTTATTGCCGTCCCCCACCCCCAAATGATATCGGTTCGTGATGAATAGCAATTTGAGATCAATATAATCCCCCCCCCCCCAAAAAAAAACCTACAAATTGAATTACTGCCTATTTCCGAAGTTCTACTGAGAAGCTATGATCGATTGTGCTAAATGAAGTCGAACATGAGGACATGTACTCAATGTTGAAGAAAAATATTTTCAGAAAGATGGATTATCTGGCCATCTACTTGATTAAATAACCATACCCTAGTTAAAGCGTTATTCGGATGAGTTTGAGATTTTGGTATATTTGCTTTTGAACCTGACTATTAACCCCTCGGTGTAGGTATTGCCCTGTCTCAAGGGGGTGGGAGTGTGCTGCTTTTAAGGCTAACCATTTCTAACCTTATCCCATTCCCACTAGGAAGGCAGCATCAGTGTGGCACTGCCGATCATCCAAGGGAAACACCCCAGTGCTGTCACATCTCCATCCAATCAGCAGTACGACTTCATCCTCAGAGCTCTATCAGTGTTGCAATTTAGACTATAATGGTAACTGACTTTTGTTCAACCACTGGATAACATACCTTCCTGGTATGGTAAAATCTTGAGGGGGCAAGCGTTCCACTAGCATGGCTTGTTGGGTCATTGTGATGTGTAATCCTTGTTGGGTATACTGGCATGTAGTTCGTTCTGTCCTGGATTACTGCTGTGAGATATGGTCGTTAAAAGTGAAAGACATGAAGGGGTCACAAAGTTCTAACCACAGGTATCTTTGTAGCATTACTCGGATTTTGTGGAATCACAGCGTGGGTAATGTTACTGTCAAGCGAAGAGTACTAGACAAGATAGGCAAGTTCATTGATGAAATTGTGAACCTTCATCGGCTGAGATGCCTTGGACATGAACTGGGCATGCTATCCGCCGCCTACCTTGTCCTGCCATGCTGGAGGTAATTGGATTAGGTAACTGGAAAAAGATCTAACACCAATCAATGAAGTCTTTGACTGTTAGCTGGAACCGTGCAGGCAGATGTAGACTACCTGGCTGGAGTCCTTGAGACAATTGAGAACTGTTGGTGACATAGCTAAAAATCGGTCATAATACCACAAATATATCCACTCCTTGACATCTAAAGCATGAATATTCATACTAACCGTTTTCTTCAGATTTTTTTTCTATCACACAACTTTATCAACTTCGACATCATTCAATTTCTATCCACCTATCGTTTGCGTACTATTTTGAAGTGTGGCAACTTGTACCAATCCACCGGTATGAGATTATGATATTATATTATTTCTCCCTCGACTACCTAATGGAACACGTCTCCATTGCATTCTCTTCTACGAAATCTTCTCAACATGGCTACACGACTACCCACAACCTCTCATTTCTTCCTCACACCATTTCCTCCATGTCACCCTCATCTCGGACGCCCAGCTCGGCGTTTCCCATATGGGTACCACTCGACCAACTCACATGACGCGTAACTTCACCAGTCGGTCTTCTCAGTGCACGCCAATTCAATCCATCTCCACTTCCTTCCAGTGCATATTTGTTCAGTGATAGCTGCTTACTTCGTTGGTTCATTGCCTGCCAGTCAACCAGAGTTCCACCTTGCTTATTCTCATTACTCTGACAATCCATCTGAGCTTGAGTAACGAGTCAGAGTAGGCAGTTGTTGATGAATGTCTGAAGTTTGTTGGAGATGCCTTTATTGATGCACCGAGTCTCTCAACCATCACATGGAAGCACTGACTTACTTGACTGACACTGACAGTGTTGAAGATCCTGATGTTGTTGACACTTTATTCTGAGTGTAATGCTGTGAAGTAGATCTCCACACTGGTTTCAGGTTGGTGAACACCTGTTTTGCTGTCTTCCGATCCTGACTGACTTTGACGTTCACGTCTGTGCGTGTGCCGCTGCCTGTAGTTGAAACAGTGCTGCCTACATAGGTGTAGGTGAAGCAGACTACTTTGTTTAATTTTCTCCTGTTGATGGTGATTGGTGCTTGTTGTTGTTGTTGGTGGTGGTGGTTGTGGTGGTGGTGGTTGTGGTGGTGTTGGTTGGGTATCTTCATCACCTCTCTCTGTCTTCTCTACGTTCACTTGAAGTCTCTGTTTCGTTGCCCTGCCTCACCCCGACTGTCAACTTGTTAGTTTTCACCTGTAGATGTTCGAGTTTGTGTGACATTAGACACAGGTCTTTGGTGAAATTTAAATCTCCTAGGCACTTTACATCGGTCAGGCGTATGCCCCTCTTCTCGCTCCTCCTCACTGTTTGTTGCATGATCCAGTCTAGTCGACCACAATCAGGAATATCATGGGGGATGGTAGGCAGCCTTGTCTTACTCCTGTCTTCACTTCGAAGCATCACTGAGCTTCACATTGTGACTTAATTGGCATGTGGATAATTTATCGGATGCTTGTTTCTCTCTGACAACTAAGAATATTGGCATATGCTAAAGAAACCATCTGGTTGTTGTTGTTTACGTAAAGAATTAACACAAGCTAGATGAATTGTAGATTCTGTGGCAATGGTTACCTATTCCATGGTACCACTTTCACTCAGTGATGAGAAAGATAGACTTGAGCAAGTGAGTCATCAGTCAATCGGTCTGTCGATGAGAAAGGCAGAAGCGAATAATGCTGTGGAGATTTGACAGAAACAACCTGTAAAAAGTAAAGACTGTTGAGGGAAACAAGGATACTGACGAAATATGTCCATTTATTCATAAATAAGAACAAGATATGTATCAATGAAGAAGTAGCATTTCTTTTCAGCAACTTCATTATCCCGGTGAGAACAACATCATTCGGCAGGTACATCCAGCTGACCAGTGAGTCCCAAATAGGACGAAATGCAAATCCTGGCAGTATTCAGGCATCCGCACAGGAGCCCATATGCCAATAGAGAGAGAGAGGCCGATCAATTAGGTTCAATCAACAACGGTGTAATAGAAGCAATAACACTACGAAAATGAATGTTTACCAACATAATGACAATATAGAAGCAAAGGATCGGAGGTTAAAATGTGTAATTTGTTATAGGAAGGTTCATAAAGTACGTATTAATCCTAATATAGGCCAAGGAATAACACTAGGTTTAATTTAAACTTGTAAATCACTTTAAAGGATGAATCTCGAAGAGGTGAATGACCTAACTCTACTCGATGTTCACATATGGATTAAGTTGTTTTTCTTTGCTCGTCTTTGGTAAACCAATTTGGGTAATGCTCAACAACACATTTTCGGAGGGCCCATTTACAACGTCCAATACAGTCAGCTCTACAGGCAGATGTAAGTTTGTAGATATACACAAAGATGTGGACATATGTGGTAGCCTACCATTCACGCATTGTCGAATCAGAAGACATCTGGATAAAATCGATCTCAGTTTAGACAGGAAGCTTTTCGGCACTTCAGCTGTAGCGTCTCCTCTGAATTCCAGATTCATAGTTAAGAGTTTCTTAGGAACTGTCATAGGATGAGGGCTGATTCGTTTCTTCAGATTTCTATCAATAAATCTATTAAGGTATCCGTTATTGGATAGTGTTGTTCTAAGAGTTTGGATTTCAACATCCACCTCATCTTCTGAAGAGATTTTATGGATTCTGAAACACAGCAAGTGAATGAGAGGTACCCAACTATTAAAGTTAACAAACTGGTCGGTCTAAGTTGATTTTCCATAGACTAACCTTTGAATTGAGCCATTATCTCTTCTCTTTAGGATTACGTCTAGAAAGTGAAACGTTGAATTCAACTCTTCCTCTACAGGGAATTTAATGGATGAGTGACAGTCATTGAAACGTCTTAGCAGCTCGTTCATTGAACATATTTTTTTACAAATAAGAAAAGTATCATCAATTTACCATTTTCATGCTTTACCATAAAGATATCAGCCAGCATGAAGCCTAGAGGAGGCCTCATTACAACTCCGTCTGTTGTTGAAGTCTTCAAGTAAGTTTAGCTAGCTTAATCAAATGTTGATCAAGCTAAAGGTTGATGCAGTAGGCTGATATCAAGCTAAAAAAAACTTTGACAAATACCTTAACCTTCATTAAAAAAATATGCAATTCAATCATACCATTTATTAGTAACTTTTTCTTGTGTACGGAAGAAATATTGTTATCTAAAATAGGCATATTTTGTTGTTCTTTCAGAAGAATACTTAAAAATCGACCTGAAAAAGTGATTGTTAAGCGCCCACTTCCAAGTCAACCATTCCCAATATGGACATGTGAATGTAGAGAACGTCTTGAACACGTTTCAGAAGCAATTGGTAATACTCCACTATCTATGTTTATCTACATACACTTTGATTTTGTGTATTGATATATCAGGTAGTCATGTATAAGATGACCTGTTTGAGACAGAACTTCATTTAAATCGTCTAGAATCATTTCATCTTGGATAATATGCGAATTGATGTCACATCTCTTAACTTGGTAACCATACACGACATTTCACCGATAGTAAAGTGAGAATAGTGCCACTGGCTCCCATCTTTAATGTCATTGGTACATACAAGTTGTAATTAGAAACTTTAAGGTCCCAGCAATTTTTGTGTGATTGTTATTGAGTCTAACAGTTGATAGTTGATAATGGACACATCTCTTAATGTTGGTTGTGGCTAGCAGATGAGTCCAGGAGGCGCATTTCGTCCTATCTGGGACTCTTCAGCTGCATGTACCTGCCTCCCAGTGAGTGATGTTGTTCCCACTGAGACTCGAACCTCATAACCATCGCTTCAAACACCAAGGAGTTATGCACTATACCACGAAGGAACGATAGCCACTTCTTGTACAACGGCTAGTAGTTATCACTATTTATTGTCATACTTGTTATTCTCCGTTGCTTGTTTTGTTGGATCGAATAGCCTCCTGGATTCTTCTGCTAGCCACAATCAACTAAATTATCATAAATAGCAATCAGGCAATATCGAGGCATCTGCATAGAAGCCCATATGCCAATAGAGGTCGAACAATTCGACCCAACAAAACAAGCAACGGGGAATAACAAGTATGACAATAAATAGTTAATTCCCCAATGAAGAGTGTAATTATCATAAATTAAATGTGTATGTCAGTTTTGCAGTACTCTGGATAAACTGAAAATGAGGCGGATAGTTCATCTGTCTGATGCTCAAATTGGACTTGCATGCCAAGTTCACTTGAATACAAGCAGCTAAGCGTAATGTTACACAACAAGGTACCAAATGATAAGAAGACTTAATTATGTATCTTCATCATAGCCAGTATGTTAAAATTATGAAGGTCAACATCAGTGTTGACGCTCATCTATTATTATTACTATTTGTCCCTAGACTTCCTAATGGAACACAGGGCTTCACTAGCACGTCTCCATTACACTCTCTTCTACGAAATCTTCTCAACATGGCTACACGACTGCCCACAACCTCTCATTTCTTCCTCACATCATCTCCTCCATATCACCCTCATCTCGGACGCCCAACTCGGCGTTTCCCATCTGGGTGCCACTCGACCAACTCACATGACGCGTGATTTCACCAGTCGGTCTTCTCAGTGCACGCCAATTCAATCCATCTCCACTTCCTTCCAGTGCATATTTGTTCAGTGACAGCTGCTTACTTCGTTGGTTCATTGCCTGCCAGTCAACCAGAGTTCCACCTTGCTTATTCTCATTACTCTGACAATCCATCAGAGCTTGAGTAACGAGTCAGAGTAGGCAGTTGTTGATGAATGTCTGAAGTTTGTTGGAAATGCCTTTACTGACGCGCCGAGTCTCTCAACCATCACATGGAAGCACTGACTTACTTGACTGACACTGACAGTGTTGAAGATCCTGATGTTGTTGACACTTTATTCTGAGTGTAATGCTGTGAAGTAGATCTCCACACTGGTTTCAGGTTGGTGAACACCTGTTTTGCTGTCTTCCGATCCTGACTGACTTTGACGTTCACGTCTGTGCGTGTGCCGCTGCCTGTAGTTGAAACAGTGCTGCCTACGTGGGTGTAGTTGAAGCAGACTACTTTGTTTAATTTTCTCCCGTTGATGGTGATTGGTGCTTGTTGTTGTTGGTGGTGGTTGTGGTGGTGGTGGTTGTGGTGGTGTTGGTTGGGTATCTTCATCACCTCTCTCTGTCTTCTCTACGTTCACTTGAAGTCTCTGTTTCGTTGCCCTGCCTCACCCCGACTGTCAACTTGTTAGTTTTCACCTGTAGATGTTCGAGTTTGTGTGACATCAGACACAGGTCTTTGGTGAAATTTAAATCTCCTAGGCACTTTACATCGGTCAGGCGTATGCCCCTCTTCTCGCTCCTCCTCACTGTTTGTTGCATGATCCAGTCTAGTCGACCACAATTAGGAATATAATCGGTGATAATTGATAGCGTTGTCTTACTTCTGGACTTGTTGCTATGAATACTTGTAATTTCCCGTTGCTATGGCTGGCAGAATTGTTTGACGCCTTTTGGCAGGTGGGCTCCTGTGCAGATGCCTCGACACTGGTGGATGTTCATGATGTTATAATGATTGTGGTAACTAGCAGAGAAACCCAGCTGGACGACATTTTATCCTGTTCAGTACTCGTCAGCTGGATGTACCTTCACTCCATGGAGTGGTGTTTTTCCGACTGAGAGAGCTGACAAGAACTGATATCCGTTGCACAGTAGGCGGCTGACGTGCCCCACTTGCTTGTTGGATAACGGTCTGGGGTTTGAAGCAATGGGTAATGGGTTCCAGCGTCACTGGAAATACCTTCATTCACTGGAGTGCATGTATATCGAGATGACGAGTTAGTCATAAATATGACGATATGCCCAACCTAGATTCCTCTACTGGTCATCAAGATCATTATAACATCACTGACTTGATTTAGAATTCCATTTTTCATTGTTTTCGATTTAAGATAAATATGAGCATGGCAATGAGATTTGCCAACTATGTTCGAATACGTTTTTGTTTCCAAATGGGTTTATTTTGTTATTCCACACAAACTACTGATAAGTAGTATAAAAATATAAGTGAAATTTGTTTGTCTTTTCTTCGTAGATGCCAACCATACCCAGGCAACAAATGGTGGTTATTCGAGGAAACCTGATGGGAATAAATTTACTGCATAAAATGAGACAGAAAATAGTCAGTGAGAGGGAGAATAGTAGGGCTAAGTGATGACATTTCAATAATGATGCTTCGCTGTGTTTTGTATTGATGATCGGCCGAAAAAAGATATGTAAACAAAAAACGCTTCCATGAAACAGATGATAATTAATTTTTGAAATTTTGCCTTTAAAAACTATTATTCTTTCAGATTACTTTCAATAGCACTCAATTAATGAATAGAGTGTATTTTTCAAAACTGTGAGGTTTGTTTTTTCTCCTTCAAGTTCATGATAAATCCTAATGGAATCCAACTGTTTTATCGAAATATCCTGATGAATTGTCTAAAGTGATTTTACAATGACTGGAAAGAAACTGTTCGGTTCCCCTTTATCATCAAGTAGTGGTAAGTTAAAACCAGAATGGATGATCGTGGGGAATTGTATAGATAGAAACAAGAAAATGTACATCAGTTGATCATAGTGTAGGCTAACCAGTGTGGTTGGTGTTGCCTACTGGAAATTAGTGAAAAGAAAACGTGTAAGCAATCATCAGGCTTCAGACAACTGGGCGAAGTATTCATGGGCCCATTTAAAGTACATGACTAAATTTATTGATCGCTATAAGGACTGAAATTTCTTTTGCGAAAGTAACTGTGACTCTCAGAGACTTGGTCTCCCACATCTTTCTTCTGTGATTCCATTACGCCACTGTAAAAGAGCTAAAGCTTTACTTGCTTATCCGTAGCTTATCCTCTGTTGGATAAAGATGGCTTCATTATTTGAAAAATACTCTCCCATCTGCAAACTCCTGATTACTGCACACAAACTCGTCGTCTCCTCCATCGAGAAGTTAAAACCAGCTTGGAGAAATAGCTGTATCAGTCACTCGACGACGCTGCCCTTTCCAGTGCTCATTACAACAGAGAAGCACAAACATGGCTAAGATTTTCAATAGGATCTTTCCAGGGCCATATCTTAATGCAGTCAAACTCCAGAGTGTGATGATCTAAAGGAAATCGCAGGACTGATGACCTTATATGTCAAGGTAGCTGTGGTCATCACGAAAACATTCATAACATTTTGTAGTGCTTCTAAATAACACATGATGACTACTTCGCTCACCATAACTCTGTATGTGTTCTATATGAAGCATGTATTCCAACTGACATGACGTTCTGCAAACCTGATTTGATCCTTCTTCATAACGGTATCACATACGTGATAGACACCACACTATGCGACGATGCTAATATTGTATTTAGCCGTTTATGGTATCTTCCATCAAGGAACATCTTTCCTTCGCTTACAAACTAATTACTACAGTCACTCATATGCTGGTACTCATCACATACCGTGGAATGTTAAGCAAAACATTCTGTAAAGATCTACAACGTCGAAACTTCTCTTCGCTGGATATATCCGATATCTGTCTATCAACCGTCAGAGGATCTGTCAAGATCTATGATATTTATATGCGGAGTATCCCGATTTCACATAACATCATACACAAACCTTTCTACAAGAAGCACTTATAACGACATTGTAACAGCTGAAATCAAATGAGAATTAATTCAGCTAATCCGCACACCCATATAACTACATCCACACATACATCTTTTCTTCCCTTTGCTTCTCCTTGGTCTGGCGTCCAGCTTTGATCTCTTCCAATTTTCTTGTCTTTCATACAGTTACCTGTGGAATGTCAATTGTAGGTATTTTGGTGACTGGTGAAGCAAACCAAGTCGACATGAAAACAAACACCCAACAATCCTTAGGAGCCCCGTACTAGTTAGATGAAACAGCTGTCGAGTGCCCCCAGGTTTCCAGTGTTCCTCCAACTGATGTAAGTCCAAGATGAATACCAACTTGAAATATCTTAATAGCTAAATCCCGTTCTGTAGACACTTGTCAGGCATCAAGGTGAACAAGCCTACACGGTGCATTTGGATGGTTTGGCTGTTTGAGCTGTTGGTCAGGAAAGCCTGAGATGTAATGTGCACTGGTGAATACTGGTTCAGCCTAGTCATAAGAATGACGGCGAACCTCCACAAAGTCCCTCTAGATTCCAACCAGTCACCGTCTTGGTTGACTAAGCAATAAAAGCGATCAACGAGACCGCTAAGTGCTGTTCATAGACGCAAATCTGAAAAGCATGGATTGGAAAGGAGACCTTCAGGACGCCGCCAACTTAATTATCTCTGCTAACAGTGTGCAAAGAAAAAGGTAAGGGAGTTCAGCTTCCCAGTTCCGGAAGGTTGCTGATAATTGTCGAGACGTATCCTACGCATGTTTGCCCACAGGGAGGTAAGTACAGTCTATGAACCGATCACGGTTCCCTCAAGTTAAAGAGATGTTAATGTTCAAGAAAATCAATTTCCGATCTCGAGCTAGGAGCCAAGCTGAAAATTGGAGTAAAATGTGACTCAACTGAAAATTATATTTTCCTACCAGTCAATTTCGAAGTGTCGTGTGCTGCTTATAAGATTGTAACTAGTAGTATATTTTTTAAGGAGAAGTAATTAGAGCAGACAGCCAAAGGCTATTCTAAAGAAAGCGGTTAGGAAGCCATCGAAAGCAAAGGAAAGTCCCTTAAGAATGTTGAATTCGGACACTGTTTGAAAAGTGTAAAACCATGCGATTTAATCCATTATCACTGACCTAGTTTTCTACAGCTTAGCTTATATTTGAGAGAGAGAAAGAAAATCCTCTTTAGAGGTTTACCAACTGATTTTAGGTTGGAATCATCCTAGACTGACATCAGGTGATAGAAAAGATGGGAAACCTGGGAGCACCAGACAACTGTTTCGTCCAACTAGCATGGCGTTTCTCAGCAGTGCACACCCATGACCCCACCGCCCCAGGGATCGAATCCATGACCTTCATGTTCCATGGCCAGTACGTTACCATTGAGTCACTTTGTTGGGACGCAATCTTCCACATTTCATTCTTCTGACTCTTCAAGATATAGCACAAGCTACATCTAATGTCGTCGTTGAGTAGCTGTGACCTCATGGTCGACTTGGCTAACTTTACTGGTCACAACTCTCGTTGGAACTTCGGGAATCACCTGTCGAAGCTAGTCACTAATGAGCGCTAGATTAATTCAGTGTAGAGGTTTGTGTGGAGGTTAATTAATTGACTGCAGGTTGGAACTCATCATCGACTGATATCAGCTGGAGAAACATTGGGAACCTGGGAGTACTGGACAGCTGTTTCGTCCTAATATGGGACTCCCTATCAGTGCGCACCCATGAACCCACCAGTGACAGAAGTAGGAAATGTGGACCATCGGTTTCCGACACAGTGGCTCGAAAGTTATGTGCTGGCCACGGAACCCGAAGGTCCTGGGTTGGATCCTTGTCTTGGCGGGGTCATAGGTGCGCAGTGCTGAAAAGTTCGACGAAACGGCTGTCAAGTGCTCCCAGGTTTCCAATGTCCCTCCAACCGATGTTAATCCATGATGAATTCCAACCTGAAAAAAAGAAAATTTTTCATATCGCTCATTCTTTTGGCAATACTAGATAGGCAGAGGACTCCTGTCAAGTCCTGTTTCCAATGTCTCATGTCAAAATTTGAAAGTTTTCAACGCTTCACCAATTCACGTCAACATACGTAGTTCAAATAATTTTTCTTTCAGAATTTGCCTACTTATGAGTAGTAAAACTATTTTAAAGAAAAAATATGCCTGAATTGTCACAAAAACTGCAAACAATTTTTATTCTGTATAAAAGTTTCATCAAAATTTAACTTTTACTTTGTTTTTTTAAAAGGAGTTAGTTACAAAACCAGTTGTTTAACGTTAGGAAATAAAAACATATTAGAAAAAAATAGAGAAAGAAAGAATCATTCCACTTTATTTTTTCATCACAAAACACATTGATATTCTTCAAGTCCTTTTCTTGAGTTAATTCAACGCTTTTCTATTTTGTTTACTACTGTGTTTTTATTTTCTGCATTGAAAAAAACATCTTGACATTAAAAGTGAAAACATGATGTTTATCGAACTTAAGAGAAGGGAACCAAAATAAAGGAGACAGAGAGGGAGATGAAGTTATCATCTCTCACATTAGGATGATGAAGGCAGTTGTGTAAAACAAACAAAAACAAACGAGACCAACAACTTTAAAAAATAAATCCTCATCAGGTTGTCTATGAAAGAAGTTTTAGAAAAGAGATAAACAAGGATTTGATCTTAACACCAGTACAAAACAGAAAAACGATTCATTAGAGCAAAACATCAGAAGAAAAATATACACATTTTGAATGATGTGGGCAGATTTTAACAGATTTGTAGATATGTATATACCTGAAGATGCTTTGCTTGAGGTTAGAGTGGAGGATGGAAGTATATTTATTCAATTGTGAATAGAATGGAAAAGCTTTTGAAACGTCCTTCATTTAAGAATGCATACATAAGGATCCTTGTTGAGTTTCAACATCTGTTTTTATTCACTTTCCCTGTTCCAGGAATTCAACATATAACACTTCAAAATGTTTCAAGTCAATAACTTCAAGAAATGTGATGCTTGTTTAAATAGATTACTTTACTAAAAAGTTTTTGGCGCCTTCTTTAAATGTAACGACATTAGTAACATTAAATATCATAATTCCTTGGCATATTTATCAGATCAATTGATTCTGGTCCATTACGATATCTTCGCCAAATTGTTCGACGACATCCACAAATTAGTACAGTGAAAGTGCATATCAAACAACCAATTATAGCAAATGCAAATATAATCAAACCATCATCTAAATATCGAATGGGAAGAAAAAAACAGAAACCTGAAATGAATGGAACACTTTTAACAAGATGTTATATGTTATTCTGAGGGAGTTGTGGAGATTTGGAAATATTTCAAGTTGTTACTCATTGCAGACTGACATCAGTTGATGGGGAACAAAGGAAACCTGGGAGCACTGCACAGCTGTTTCGTCCGACTAGTATGGGACTCCTCAGCAGTGCGCACCCACGATCCCACACCAGCAGGGATCCAACCAGCGACCTTCAGGTTCCGCGACCAGAGCGTTAACATTGAGCTAGCCACTGGGTCAGAATCCAATGCTCCATATTTCCAACTTCTGTTAGCTCACGATATAGCGCAACCGCCACCCAGTGTCATCGTTGAGTAACTGTCCTCACCACCATCAGACTTTGACTCCACCGGTGACGACTTGTCATTGGAACTTCGGAAATACTTCTCGAAGCCAGTCACCAACGAGCACCAGTTCAATTGAATTTTGAGGGAGTTGTGGAGATTTGGAAATATTTCAAGTTGTTATTCATCGTAGACTGACATCAATTGGTGGGGGAACAAAGGAAACCTGGGAGCACTGCACAGCTGTTTCGTCCGACTAGTATGGGACTCCTCAGCAGTGCACACCCACGACCCCGCCAGGGATCGGACCCGTGGCCTTCAGGTTCCACGGCCAGCGCGTTACCATTGAGCCGCTGGGTCATCATTCTACCGTAAACGGCGGGATGTAATAAACCTCTACTGATGAAGCAGAATTATCTCCCTTCTGACTGAAGATATGCATCGTTGATGAGTATCAGTAAGCATGATACCTTTCCATATCAAACAAAGTGAACTGATAACTGCCTCCGACTATGTGATATGGCCATTAACGATGCAAGAATAATAACTTTCAACTAATAACGTTCAACAAATTCCTAGTTGATTCCCGACGCAATTAGGTTATAAAGAAGAAATGTTGGATGTGTAGTAACGTATATATGGGGTCCTAAGGCCCAAAACAAAGGAAAAATACACCTACTATATGGATAGTTCACTGTTTAGAATAATCCTATTGATTGGCTAACTCACCATCTATCTGTTTAACCATAGAAGTGAAAAAGTTAAGAACATTTTGATTGCTTCCTCTCCAGACTAGGCTTTTCTCTGTATCCCCATATCATCTACCTCTTCGAAAAAATGTTATTTCGGATCAGAGTGGCGCGCCTTGTCTTTTTCTTGTATTTATCTAACTGACTTGGAGGGAGTTTCTCCTTGCTTACTAGGGGATCGGTAGTCTTCTCGATATTCTACCAAGAAAGACATCTGTGGCGATATTTGGAGGATGACGTTTGTACACGTAGTTCTGTGTGTCGGCGGCAAAAACCGTCTTCATGGCCCCACAGCATTAAACTCTTAGCATCAGTGTTGTTTAGGTGGACAAGATTTGACAAAATGCCAGACATCACAAGACCAGAAAGGCGATCGAGGTGTATTCTTCATAGAGTCGGTTGTTATCACATGAATTACTGGGCTGATAAACCGGAGAAATGAGGCCACGGGGATGTGTGGCCAGAGGGTGATGCAGAGGGACGAGATGTCTAGTGAACTGTATGTACTACAGAACCACCGGAGTGTTTGAGTTGGGATGAACTCGTATCACACTTCAGGTTACTTAGTCGTTGATATTCTGCAGACATGTCATTCAGTGTCTGAACGATCGCGTCGAAAGTGTGATCACGTGGGTTTAGAGGCAAAAACATGTTGCAGCACTGGTCTACCTAAAGTAGAACAAGCTTCCGAAGTAGGAGACGTACCTTCCAGAAGTTATCTTGGACAGGAAAACCCATTTCTAAGTAGTCTTCGTAATCCCTGAACCAAGCACCAAAAATCTCATCGGTATCAGGATCGTAGGTGAATTGGCGATGCCATCAACTGCATTAAAACTGGTATAGTATGTGGTGATTCATTACAATAAATTTCAGATTGCTTAAGTATCTTGATCATCTTCATTTACTGTCCGAGAAGAATCGATTTCCCAATATCCCATCTCCATCGTCACTGATATGATTCGGAAAATGCTGTAGCCGCTAATGATACACGGATATCACCTATCAGCTACCAACATTCAACTATTTCCTAGTTGATTCCCAACCCAACTAATTTCTAGAGAAGACACGATGGATGTGTAGAAACGTGTATCGAGGTCTGAAGAATGAAGGCTCAAAACGAAGGATAACGCACCTAATATATAGACAATTCGCTGTTTAAAATGATCCTGTTGATTGGCTGATTCATTGTCTGTCTGTCTATCTATCTACTAACTATAGAAGTATGCTGCATTTTGATTGGTCCTTTTCTAGACTATGTATTTAATATTGAAAAAGGGAATAATGATGATGTTGATGAAAACATTCTCTGTATCTCGCAGATAGAACTTATTCAGGATTTCTATCTGGATGTTTGTGGAGGTTTTTTTTATTGATTTTCGGTTGGAATTCATCATAGACTGACATCGAATTGAGGAATATTGGAAGCCTGGACGCACTCGATAGCTGTTTCGTCCATCTAGTGTAGGACTCATCATCACTGTGTACCCATGACCTCACCACGCCAGGGATCCAACCCAGGACCTTCAGGTCCCATGGCCAGCATGTAACTATTGACCTGTGTCGGAATCCAATCGTCCACGTTTCCTTCTTCAGTCAGTTCACGATATAGCACGACCTACATCCAATGTCGTCGTTAAGAAACTGTCAGTAGACCGGTCAGTGTTAAAAGGATGTTCATAGGATGAGTTGACTGATTTTTTAAACACAAATACTCATCACTGGTTCCGAATGATGGCTGCGCAATCTCATCAATCCACAGAAGTTGGGATATATGAAAGGTTAAGTTTTAATCTACTGGCTTGGTGGCGTACCACCACAGCGCACCTTTGAATCTAGTTCAGCTGTGTTTCAATGTGTACAATCTTAAGGAATATTGAACACTGAACAGAATCCAGTGTCAGTGATGCTAGAATAAGGAAGCGAGAGTTTTTCAGGTCTTCCGTTTATTTCTTTAGGCTTGGCTTATTGGTCAATTGCTCTACTGTAGTGGACAAAGAAGTCTCTCCTGCCTTCCTGATCTTTACTCCAGTGAAGTTTGTGCTTATTGTCGGTTGCCAGAAAGAGAACAGCAAAATAACAGTGAACGAAGTATATAGGATGAGTGTACCTGAAGAAACGTCTAAGTAAGTTAAGTGAGCATGGTACAGATCACAGATGTATTCGTAGCATTGCTTCTATGTGGTGGAATCACCATGTGAGCAATGTTGAGGTCAGGCGAAGGGTACTAGGGAAGCTGGCTTAATCGGTTGATGAGGTTGCCAACCTTGGTCGACTAAAATAGCTTGGATATGTACTACGCATCCTTAGCTACCATCCTTCTCAACCTGCATGCCAAGGGAAGCTGGATTACATTGGAAGAGGGTTCAGCGTGGCTAAACCAAGATGTAGAACACAGTTCTGTTAAGTGAAGACGCTGCCAAGTTGCAGAGTCTTCCGAACACTTTGAGTGTCAATTTGGGAATGTTTAGGATGCGGTTCTCACCACCCAAATGCAAATGTTTGCTCCAGAATTGGTCTTTAACGGTATGGAGGTTGAGTGTGTCGACCACTTCACTTACCTGAGATGTAGGATCAGCCATGCCCTGGTGACTCAGTGGCCGATGAAATCTCTGAACGAATACAAAAGGCTCGGATGGCTTTTGCTAATTTACGCCACCTGTGACGCCGCCGTGATATCCGTTTGTCTATTAAGGGTGGCGTGTACTGCACATCAGTCCGCTGTGTTCTACCGCATGGCTGTGAAACATGGCCATTGAAGGTGGGAGAGATGAGAAGGCTTCAAGTGTTTGACCACCGCTGTCTTCGTACCACTTTCATCGACTGAGATGTTTGAGACATGTTTTGCGTATTCCTAGTCACCGATTGCCTCGTCACACAATGTTGGCTGAAGTAGGTCCAGGTTGGAAAAAGGCCCGAGATGTCCAGACTAAACATGGCATGAATGTATGAAGTGTTTGACTGTTGGTTTGAGCCAGGTGTGTGTGTGGGGGGAGCGATGCAGACTAGGTGGTTGGGGTCCTCGGGACAAGAGAAACCAGTGGTGGAGACTCGAGGTGATATGGCTGAGAACCAATGTCAGTGGCTCAGATGTATCCCTACACACATTATCCTCATTTTAACGATGTTAAACGCATTCTCACAATCTTCTCATTCTTCTTTTCTCTCTCCTCGTACTTTATATTTCTTTTGACTGCATTTTCTAATCTTCACCTTGCACCCCACTACCTTTCTACTTGATGCAGTGATATGAGGTGTGGCGGCAAATTGGACCGTTACGCAGTAATGCCTCGTCCTATGTTGATATTGATGATGATGATGTAGCACCAATCGATAAAGTCCCTGACTGCCGGTTTGAGTTGTATAAGGAAATATAGACTACCTGGCTTGTGTTCCTCAGAGGACAGAAATTAGTGACTGAGGACTTTTGGTGAAATGTCTGCTAATCGGTCACAATGGAGCAGATGTATACTGACTCTCTGATTTCTTTTAATTGTTATCTTCAGACTATTCATTCCATCAAGCAACTATTTCTACCTTGATATCACTCTTATTCTATCCTCTAGTTCTTTGTACATCACTATGAATTGTAGTGACTTGAACCGGTGTACTTTTATGCAAGATCATATCATGATTTTATCTATCTCTATGTTTTTCTGGGTCAGGATACTTATTTGGGCCAACTTAAAAAAATGGAGTTGTCAAGACGAAACATGTAGACTGTTAGCATTAACTAGATGAGAGATAATAATGATTATGACAGCGAATAGTCATTGATGTCAGCAGTTCTCGAGACATGTTGATGATAACCCAAACAATGGAGGGGTTTTACAAAGATGAGTTTCCATTCTAACATTTGGCATTGCAATTCATAGTCATCTACTTATTAAATGAAGTGAAACTGTTTTTATTTACACAGTTGAACATGATGTGTTTATTGTTACGCTATGTCTAAATTGTATAATTTATTGAAATGTGAAAGGATGAATATGGATGAAATCCCTATAAATTGATGACAACTACTTTTTCGGTGTATTCACGTTGGTCTGTGATGAGCTTCTTCGATTACTTTTCATCAGATGTCAATGAGTTTTACAGCTTAAATTTCTGACTTCCTTTACTATATTGGGTTGAATAGTTCGACCTCGATGCCAGATGGACTCCTGTGCTTGATACTGTCCGGATATCCAAAATTGCACTCGTACAAGAAGTGACTACTGAGAATGTATCAACTTTACGAGATTTTGTTTTTGTTATTACCACTTTCACTGATATTATCTACTAATTCATATACCTGAATTAATTTAACCATGTTGGTTGGTAACCTCGCCTGGTTAACTAGTTCACTAGTGTTACTAACCGGTCCTAAGCTTGGGTAAAGAAGGAAGACTTGGCATAGGGCTAGCAACCCTAACCCATAAAACTAATCCAACCGCTACAGAAACTTTAAAGCACAGACATAATATATCTTGGTTGGTAGCAAATAAGGACTATGCTGCTGAATAATTTGATGAGAATTTACCGAAATTACGTATTCTCTACAAACTATTTGTTTAAGTTATCAAAATAAGAATATTTAAATTATTTCCTCGATTGAATTGAATGACATTACAGTAATAAATGGACAGAGAAAATATTTCTTCTTCAAACGTTAAATTATAACCGTAATTTACCTCAAAATCTTTCAACCAATCAGAGTGTTGACAAGATTCAACAAGTTTCTTTAAGTCAGTCTCTTGTGTGTGTGTGTGTGTCATTTCGTTAACTATTATAGAATATTCTGGAAGTCAAAAATCAAGCATCTGCTGCTTTGTACACAACAGAGCTTTGAGTAACCAAGTACGATACTGGCTAGAGACTTTGATTTCCTTTTGTTAAATATCTTAGCGCCCAGTTTTTATAATCGATGACCGACCTTGAACAAACCTATCAGTTTTTTTAACTGATGATGACTTGGACTGCATTGTTGGAGAATGTACTGAATGCAATTGAAAGATTGCCCTATACCCCTAGTTTTTGTATAGCTTTCGTCATCTGTTTTCCCTATGACCTTAAAACAACCAACATGGCTGTTTTCAAACCCTAACTAGTTTTTCTTCCCTCTCCTATCAAGGCTGAATTCTCATTGGCTGTTAACACTTTTAACCTAAATGTGGATTTAATGTTGTCAAGTTCACTTAGAAGTGTATATATTCAAGTATCGCCATCAGTTGATTGACTGTTGCTGAGACATTTGGAAGCTCTGTCAACGGTTTTTCTTCTCTTGTAGTCTTCGTGTGTCGGTGATAGTGTTGCTGTTGTGGTTTACATTAGCATCCATTAGCTTGTGCGTTTGCTTTGTATCGTTCGTAACTGAAGACACAGGTATCCTACTCATAGAATATCAGTCTTCTCGTCGATTGGTTGCATCCAACAAGGTACAACCTGATTGGTTGTTTCTGACTGTCTGCAACACATTGAATGCACTATCTTGAATAACTATACTTCAAAATTTTCAACAATTTAAGTGAAACTATCATTGAAAAATCTTGACTTACACAAGCAACGTCGTCCAGGAAAGTTGGCATCCATTGATGCGTCAACTGTGAAGGCATTGCAAAGACACTCATAGGTTCCTTGTGGTTGGGAAATGCACTTAGCGTTTGTTGAACAGTCATGATTACCATTTGTACAGGGATCAATAGCTGGAAGTGGGAGAAAAAGAAGTCAAAATCATTCCACAACTGTTTGAAATACACTTAGTTGAAAAAATCATACTCTGCCGTGATCTTGCAAGGCACTCATAAGCTGAACCTGGCTTTCAGCTGGAGTCTAATTTCTTCCAATTCATTCATATAGGAGATCAGTCACAACTAGAATAGCTAACTACAGTAGTGGGTAACGCGGGTTTGAATCTCAGACGGAACATCATTCCCGTAGAGTTTGAGGATTCGCCAGGTTGAAGAGTGTTAACAAAGACGAAACCCATGTTAAGCAGCGCTAGCTTCCTCCCATTGTCCTCTAAGGGACTGAGAGGCTTCCATCAGTCAGTGCTGAATTACTTTGATTGTTACTGGCTGTCTAAGGTTAGCGGTTTATGTAGGTGTGTTCAAGGTCACATAGAACAAAAACAATCGATGAAGATGTTAAGAAGAATTGAGTTATGACAACTTTCCTCACAAGTGGATTGGTAATATGCACTGATGGCTAACTCCATTCTCTGCCTTGCCACAAGGGTTGTGCCTGCCTGTTTGAACATTTCCTTAGAACTATACTGATTGAAATGGCTGTTTCTTTAGATGGTACCATGTAAGGAACGCCACTAGGAACTGCTAACACTGAAATCATGGTAGAAATAGTGGTTGGTACTGATGTCTGACGGCGTAGTGAGGTCATACAGTAGGCTCCACCTTGTGTGACTTAAGTAACCAGCTTCCCAGGTTTCTCTATGCATATATACACACACACATGTATCCTAATTTCTCATTCCGCTGCTTTTATGTCTACTAATTACCGCCAGATGGAACAAAAACGAGCGAAGGGGATTTTGTCATAAAAATTAATACTTAGATGTGTAGACAATCAATAGGCCTGCTAGATTGGAAAAAAAATACGCTCAGTTAGACCAAGATAAGGCAGCAGTGCAAGAAGCCCCTAATTTTTGACCCGAGTAGTGTAGGGATGTGTAGACTATCTGGCTGCGATCCCCAAGATCATAGGAATCAATGGTTGAAGACTCGAAGTGAAACGGCGAAAAATCTGTCACAGTGAAGCAGATGTATTCACTCTTTGGCTTCATCTAAACCTTGAACATTTTCACTGAGTAATTTTAAAAAAATAAGCTACCTTGATATCACTCTTTTCCTACCCGCATCTTGTTTTTCATGCCGCTATGACATATGTGACATTCCTGCACCAGGCTGGACCTTGACTTTTCTGTCTGTCTATCTAATAAACCACCGAAACAGCCAATCAAAACAACTGCAGATTTAACGACATCATATTCATGCAGATTACCAATGAAATTCAAGGTTAACAGGGCAGACTACTAAGTTACTTATAGGGGCGGTTCCATGGCCTACTTCTGTTTCAAACAAGCATATATATATTGATTAAATTGCTTTGAATAGTAATGCAAGCCTAAAAGATAAATCCATTTAACTCACAGAAAACATCAGAACCAAAAATACACCCGAAAAATATTCTGTAAAATTGTCTCACTACTCGAATATTCTGGCTCGTTAATATTACTGATGCATATTCTACAACTTTGCCAATCATAAACATTCTTCAACTTTAATTGAAGGTTTACAAAAGATTAACAGCTTTCGTAGATTACCAGCAGCTGTGGGACCATGAAAAACCCGAGAACCGTTTCGTCCTTCTTGGATACTCATCAGCTGTGCGCATCTGTGGACCCATAAGAGATAGGTTCCCTCCTAACCAGTCTGTCGAACAGTGATTGCGAACTCTGTAGTGACTCATCTTAAGAATAGTGTCATTGTGGTGTTAATAGGAAGCCATGATCTATTGAGGCAAGTGGGTCAGGCAACAGCCATGCTACATCTGTTTAGAGAAAGCTCAGTTGGAACGGGTAACTGACCAACTTTCAATATCATAGAAGACTATGAGACGGATTCAGACAGCTCAGAAAAAATTTTTTAATGGATCTTAGATTCAACAGTAACACAGGCACGGATATGCTTCACCAATTTTTATCAAAGTACCTAAGTAGAACAGCCTAGCCCTTAAACTTTTCTATTTTTTTCTCATATCAACAGTTGATTCGTCAATGCGTGAAGCACAAGCTTTCCCAATAGACCTCATCAGTGAGTATATACAGTTCATTTGCTGTTATGTAGTTGAGTGCATCAATCCTAGTATGCGCCCACTTGTAAAACGCGCTCACAAGCACTAACCAGCCTGGTTCCTGAAGAGTGAGCTAAAACCAACTCCACCTTCATCGCTGAACATCTTATACATTCTGGATATCTGGCTTTTCGGTAAACACCGTCCAAAGCTATTGCAATGACCGGTGGTGCGACCTAACAGTCTACGAGAGATACGAACCTAACGCGCAGACGACTTGACTCTTAAGGCTAATCAGAACGTCAACCACCATTACAACAATACTACCGACACGGGACGACAAGAAAAAGAAGACAGATCGTTAATACAGAGCTTTATACTATCTCAACAATAGTCAAAACAGTTGATAGTGGTGGTGAATACATAAAGTTCTAAACGACCTTGACAAAACTAAATTCAGTGACTGGTTAAAAAGAGTTAATAACCAATGAAAATTCAACCTTGAGAGGAGAGGGAAGGAAAATTAACAGCGTTGTGAAAACATAAATGACAGTTATTTCAAGACTACAAGCAAAGTTAAGAGTATACAGCAATCACGTAATATCATGTCATTGCCTATATACACCTATCAGTTAAGACTGTCCTGGTGCCAGAAACTTCTCTGGAACTCTATGTCACATTGTTTATGTCTACGAATGTACAGCTGTGAAAATGAGTCGTCCAAAAGATAATCATCTTCTCTAGGGACTGAAACATGATATTAGCGTAGCCATCTCTTCAAATCTTCACAGTGTCATTAAAAAATTCGGTCATGGCGTGTCGATAGGATATGCAGTAAGAATGGATGGGAAAACACGGTTCCTCCTGAAAGGTTAAACATCTTTTACTGGTGTATATCAGAAGCAGAAAGGCTAGTTCCAGTCGATATATACCTTCTTACATCAAATATATGAGGTGATATGATATATTGTGATCGAAAAAAAGATTAATAATCTATTGGTATAACAATATTTTTGCGACTATAACCTGATAATCAGGACGCTTATTTAGCCCCGTAACATTGCAGAAGTCAAATTACCAGGATTTATCTTATATTCGTACTCCTGAGAGTATGCACTTTATGGAATGCCCTACCGCGACAGATCGTTATAGCCCCCTCAGTCGACTGATTCAAAAGGCGATTGGACAGTTATATCACCTCGCATGGTCTACACTGGACGTACTCAGGGAGTCACCAACCTCAATAGCCCACCCCCATCTCCCTCTTACCCACCACTCACTATCTCACTCCTTAATACACCCACATTACCTACTTATCCTTTTCCAGGAAATAGACCTACGCCATCGAGTTTTGCCATTCGGGCAATTTCCATGTACATTTCTCCCTCGTTTATTTCTCTTCTTTACCCCCTCCTTTTCTTCTTTTCCTTTCTTTCTTTCTTTCCACTTTTCTCCTCCCTGTTTTGTCTTCATTCTTTTCATTATTTACCACTACCTTCTCTTTTAGGTACCTACACAGACAGGAGTCATGACAGTCTCCTAAATTTCCCAGGAACCCGTAGCTCTTCAATCACTCTACAAAGTACAACTTACTAACTCACAAAACATTTACCTCACCGGGGCTAAAAGCAAGAAAGCATAAAGGATTTCCTCGTCCACTGCAGGAGTGAACCGAACAACTCGAACCAAGCCCTAAGAACTAGACGGGAGAGAACAGAAACTATGTTTTCGACGCTCGCATTATCAATGTTGGATATTGGATGTAGAAGCGAGTACTAATCAGTTGCGAGTGTCTTTAGACTGGTTTTTCTTTTGTTCTCAATTGCTGACATCGTCAGTAGGCCGGCTACACTTTTAGGCCATGATACATTTTCCGTATATTTCCCTAAAATACAATTTCATTGCGCATTGTCTGAGATAGAAGGCTACATTCGTCTTCACTGTGAGAAAGTTGGAGTGAAATAAGTTGTATTACCAGGATCATCTCACACATAGAAAGTTGGTGCAATGATAGCACGTAGAACCAAGCTCCAGTGTTCTTTCCAGTCGATAAATCATGCAACTGGATAGGAAAAGTAAAATGAACCATTAAACCAATAACAACAGTCAAAACATCATATCAAGGAAATAACAGTTTGATGCATTTCAATCAAAGGCGTCAACAACTATAAAACTTTGATAACATACTTTATTCTCACCAGTCCTTATCTGTTGAATGTTGAGATTGACGAATTAAAACTATCTTACCAGTTAGTGTATAAATCTTTAGAGATATAAGAATGTTGACTTTTTAAAGGATAATTTCATTTTCATAAATTTAAATTATACACAAAATAAAACATACCATACAGTTTGAAGGCTAAGGAATTCCCGCCAATTATATCAGCCAATGAAATTGCTTTGAACTCTTCTAAGTTAGGATTCAATTTCTGTAGGCCAATAATAATTTGCTGTTCAACTACATCAGATGATATATTTGTTAGCATATTTAAAGGTATATCCAATACTAAATTGACTGTTATGATAACTGAACCATATTTGTAATTCTGTAGAATACAATCGATGAATGAACTTGACAGCCATGCATCAGGCCCTTGCGCTATCGACAAACGCAGCTAAAAGTAAACAACCAATCAATAAAAAGATAAACGAGACAATGACGCATAGAGGTGAGTTACAGGTGAGAATAGCATATGTATGCATGTATGTATGTATGTATGTATGTATGTATGTATGTATGTATGTATGTATGTATGTATGTATGTATGTATGTATGTATGTATGTATGTATGTATGTATGTATGTATGTATGTATGTATGTATGTATGTATGTATGTATGTATGTATGTATGTATGTATGTATGTATGTATGTATGTATGTATGTATGTATGTATGTATGTATGTATGTATGTATGTATGTATGTATGTATGTATGTATGTATGTATGTATGTATGTATGTATGTATGTATGTATGTATGTATGTATGTATGTATGTATGTATGTATGTATGTATGTATGTATGTATGTATGTATGCAGATGCCTTTACGACTGTCGTTATATTTTGATATAGTATTATATTTTATAATCAATCTTAAGTGTAGTATTTCTATCCTCACGTCTGGGGCGCCTCAAATTTTTGTATGTCTCTTGTCTAATTGTTAACTGACAAATATCTTGCAGATTCTTTCATCACTCAAGTTGACATATTTCGTCAGCTTTGGCGGGAATCATTATTGATGTTTGTAATTGAAGGCAAAGCGCAGGAAGTGTCAATTCTTAAAGTAGTGAATAACTGATATGATATACCAAAGTCAACCTGAGAAATTAAGTTGATATGATTACTTTGCCTGTGTCATTAAAGTCTGACCTACTAAATTACGGATGAGCTCAGCTGAAAACGAGTGGAACATCTGTCCTGTGTTTTCATCACGCTAGTTCTCCCTAATCGGGAACCGTCAGTTAGCATGAATGCTTTCCGAGTACCCACAGAGTCTGCCAGTAACACTAAGAAGCCAGTGTGACTCATCATACTCAAGTTTATGAAACGAGTCCATATACTAATTAAAGTTCAATCTTGTGCCCATTGGAGGCTTACTTCTGGATGAATTTTTCAACGTTGAAATAAAGAGGCGTGACCTTTGGGGCTATTCAAGTCCTTTGTCGCCATAAATACTCGCTGAAGTCATCTGATGACATTCACGATATATTCTGAATCGACAAAAGCAGAAGAATGTGGGTTGTCAGGTGGTAACGTGCAAGTCACGAAACCCTATGGTTTTCCAACTCTATCCTTTACAGGGTCTTAAGTGTGCGCTACAGAAGAGCCCCAGGTTTGGACGAACTAGTGTTTAGGACTTTTTCGATGTTTCACCAACTGATACAGATTCAAGATGAACACTGTCGATGAATTCTCAAAAACAAGCGACTAGTGTATCATGGTAGGGAAATTGTTCCTCATGGTATCGGTTTCGGGAGTGCTATTGTCCATCTCCGTCAATTCCCTATGATGACAAAACTAATGACATCTACAACACCAGGAACCCAGACATAACCTCAAAGTAGGGTTAAGTTGCTTCAGTACATTTGAGCATCTGCATCACCCAAATTTACAGAGTTATTAAAATAGGCGTGTTGGGAACATGTCTGAGCAAGAGAAACGTGCATAAAAACTCACTAGTTTGCATACATCCATCGCTTTTTTACTGTACATAGACATGGATGAAGATTCCTTTTCATAATCCGTACTCCAGACAGCCTCCACACCGTTTTCATACATCTTCATTTCTACACCATAAACTAGATCATCTGAAAATGATAAGCAAAAAATTATTTCCTTTGTCACATGAAGAAGCATAGTTTTCATGCATTTAGTTCCCTAGAATAGCCTAAGTAAAACTTTATCAGGCAATACATGTAATATATTTCGTTGCCTTCTCTTCAGTCGTTTTCAAGCTAAAAATAGCAAAACTTTCAACATGAATATCAATATTGTAATCGATCAGTTAGGTCCAATCTATACGCGTCACAGAAAGAGTGGCCATCATGACCCAGTAGGCTACTGAATAACTTTCTGGCCCTTGAAGCGACGGACGCTCGGTTCAGTTTCAACCATGCTTAATACTGCTGACTTGGAGGCATGTACATGCAACTGAAGAAGAACAAGAGGGACGAAGAGCGTTTTTTGAACTCCACTGCTGATTATGCAATGTAGCAATGAAATGAATGCAAACACAATCGTATTAGGAAGAGAAGAAGAAAACTGAGTCTAGTTCAACAATCGATCTCTGAGAAGCTCAGAAGGATGAAAATGTATCCGTATTCTGTTGTTTTTAATGTCATGTATTCAGCAGTTGAGATGCTATTGATGTGGGAAACGTGTATTTGGACCGAAGACACAAAGGACAAAAGAGGATACATCTTATTATATATACACTTTGGCGGTTTAATTTTGATTGGTTGATTGATCGTCTGTCAGCTGGCTACAGACGTGATTAGAAGAAACTACAATTTGATTGGTCTATTTCCCGATTGGTCTTTTCGTTTTCTCTATCTCCTTATCATTTGTGTCTGAGACAGGTGACTCAATGCACTGAATTAACATTACGCATCTTTTTCTCATACTACCCAACTGGGATAGACTTTAGAAGTGAAAATGGAATGTGTAGAACATTTTGTCTGGGTACATTGCTATGAATATGGACAATCAATTGTGTCCTAAACGTTATCCAGTAGAAGATACTGTTTCACGGTGTAATATTTCTAACTAACTGACTAAAATGGAATTAAAATCTACCACAGTGCCCAAGTTTTACTCCTTTAATAGTGAAATGTATGGTCTGCCTGTTCGAAAACTAATCAAGATACTGTGATCTCTGTAGGGTGCCCTAGCTAGTTTGATTTGGCTGGTGAAATCTTGCAATCGGTGTAATGGCTGCATAACTACTCAATTCTTCTCAAGTAGTATATTTACACACGTAAGTGATAGAAGTACCTTTCCCTACGAACTACAGGTTTTTAAAAAATGATATTTGATGCTCCAAACATACTGTCTTATATCTGAAAGGTGTTGGGGACCCCATTGAATCGGTGACCGGCCTCTCTGGTGTCGGTGACACACTAAATGCTCAGGGAGAAGTTTCACTAGTCCGCTGAATCTTCATCAATAGTTTTCTGTGTGCTATTAAGCTGGAAGGTTTGTCTCAAATAAGAAGTGACTGACAAGAGAAACGGTGTCACTTCGTCATCTCGGCCTATGCTCCAACTGATTGCAGTCTGGATGCAACCAAGGATGAATTCTATCATCAGCAGATTGATCTTCTCAACCAAGTGCACTCGACAGATATCGTAATGCTAGCTGAAGACCTGAATGCGCAGGTGCAAGTGACCAATAGGGACTAGTTGGCCTAAGGTTGGTTGTATTTGTCACAGACTTGCATACTATTCAAGACGTATTTTTAAATCTTAATTGACCCCCACCCACACAAATTTCATACAGTGTAGTAAGTGGGCGGAAGTGATTCTTTGTGCCAAGTTAAATTTTACCTCAGTCAGTCAGACAGCCGATCAGTCAACCAATCAGATAGTTAGGAAGACAGACAGACATTAAGTCAGCCCAACAGCATTACGTGTCAGATTTTAGTGAGGATTAATGCAACGGATTCGCATAACATTTTGAGCTCATTCAACTGAAGTTGCTCAAATAATTTTTTATCATACTGTCACACACAACAAAGTCTTCGATAAAAAATTCAATACTTACAGACATGTCAAACTTACGTCTTTCACATCTTTTACCACGTGTATTTTCTTTGCATAAACATCTCGGTGCTTTCGTTGTGCCTACACACATTCCGCCATATTTGCATGTAGACTCCTCACAGGTTGTTAAATCTGCCTCAGTTTCTGAAATATGAAACAAAAAGATATCGATTTCTAAGTATATGAGAATATTATGGTGTTTAAATAATCAATATTGGGGTTTTAAGACCATCCTTTAAAACCATATGTTAAATTTGGATCCATTTGGATGGTTATATATTGTTTGAAGTGAACTGAAGGCCTGACCATCATTTAGATCTCGTAGTTCAGCTGATAGAGTACCAAGTTGATAACATAGGGAGTGCTGGCTGAAATCCTACCATGATCCAGGTTCTCTAATATAGGAGAGTAGGTTGGGCACCGTGGCAGAGCATAATTCCACAATACATTGTTTGTTTGATTCATATGGCACACAGTGACAGTATAATTTACTGGATGACGTTCCGAGCACAACTTGTCACTCATGTCTTCCAAAATCCACTCTGGTTACATATGTGAGTTGCTGGTCGATTCAATGAACGACAATTCTGTGACCAGTCTCTCCCTACACCTAGCTTAATATTGGAGTTTAGAATTTCTCACCTATCCCACTCACCTCATGGTGTGATTATGCGTCAGTACATGCAGAGCATCGATAACTGAGTTCTTCTCTCAATTACTTATCTTAGTACCGTCTACTATTATCTATTTGGTTACATTTTTGTGCTACTGTGTTCTGACTGATGCCTATCGGCAGAGTTGACCTTGATCTTTTAGCCTATAAAGTTTCTTTCTGAATGAGTTTACATGTTTAAATACCATGCTAATCACGGGGCTGTTAGAAATTCTACGTGAAACTTCTAATGTGCCTTTTTTTAAGTGGCAAAACTACAGAGGAGTTGAATTCTCTCTTAGGCAAGTTGCAAACACCACGATTCCTTCTATTAACGAGTACTTGTAAAAACTCTTTGATGCGTTAAAATTCTTGATTTGTGTTTCCTGACTTTCTAGCCAAACTCCTAGCCCGATTACTTGGACATTTTATCATGTCTATCTTGATGGATATATAGGGTGAGAGGATGTGAAATCCAAGTATCCATTTGAGTGCGTTATCATTACTATTATAAATATTATTTGTCTGTTGGGTTCCTAGTGGAACATAGGGCTTCGGTAGCACGTCTCCATTTCACTCTGTTTTCTGCAGTCTTTTCAACCTCACTCCACAACTGCAGAGGAGCTTTCATTTCTCTAATACACCATTTCCTTCATGCCACCGTCGGCTCAGATGCCCAACTCGCCGTTTCCCCTTTTTATTCCACTCCAGTGCCTGGCGCGTGATGTCTCCAAATGGTATTCTCAGTGTATACCCAATCCATCTCCACTTTCTTTTCCTGCATATTTGTTGGGCGATAGCTTCTTGCTTCGTTGGTTCATTGCCAGGCCAGAGTTCTTCCATGCTTATTCTTTCCGGTTATCCATCCGACCTTCAGTATTAAGCGTAAATAGCTGTTGATGAATGTCTGCGGTTTATCGGAAATGCTTTTCGTAACACGCCAAGTCTCTCAACCATCATACAGAATCCCTGACTTGGCCGACTTAGTGTTTAAAATCCGGAATTTGTTCACCATTTATGCTGAGTGCGCTAGATCTCCACACTGATTTCAAATTATTGCAGGAAGGCCTGTCTTGCTGCCTTTCTGATCCAGGTTTTGATACCCTCATCTATGTCTGTGCCACCTGTGGCTAAAAGGATGTTGCCTAGATAAGTGAAAGAGACAACTTCCTTTACATTTCTCCAATTGATGGTGATTGATGCTTGTTGTTGTTGTTTGGATATCTTCATCACCTCTGTATTTTCTATGTTCACCTGAAAGCAGTCTCGTCTTTGCTGCCCTGCGTCTTCTGTCAAACTGTCAGTTTTCGCCTGTGGATCATCGAGTTTGTGCGACAATAAACGCAAATCGTCGGCGAAATCCAAATCGTGTAGGGTCTTTTCATCGGTCAAACAGCCAGTGTATTCCGATCTTCTCGCTCCTAACAGTTTGTTGCATTATCCAGTTAAGTCGACCATTATAAGGAAGACCATCGTTGATAGTAGGCAACTTTGTCTTGTCTCACTCCTGTCTTCACTTCAAAGGCGTCACTGAGATTTCCATTGTCAATCACTTGGCATGTAGCGTCGTCATATGGTATATAAGCTGTTGAATGAGGTCAATAAAGGTTTGTGGCTCTGGAACCCTATGGTTGAAGCAAGCAGTTGCCAAATTACTTCTCGGTCTGCACCTCAATCGAAGGCCTTTTCAAAGTCGTTGAAGTTGAGGTAAGGAGCTGACTGGCATTCTACACTCTGTTCTATGATGATGCGTAGGATTGCAATTTGCTCCGTACATGATTTGTACTTCCTGAAGCCAGACAGCCTGTTCCGGTAGTAGTTTTGAATCCAGTTCATTGTTTACTCTCTCCAGGATGATGTGGCATGATATTTTGCCTGGTCGACAGCAGCATGATTCCGCCTCAGTTCTTGCAGACACTTAGGTCTCTCTTCTTCGGGAGTTTGACAAGGTAGCCTTTCTTCCAATCAATAGGCAGGTACCTTTCCTTCCTTCCAAACCTTCTGAAATAGTTGTGTGGTGTGAGCATGTCAGCTGTTGTCTCTGAGTCTGTTTTCAGTGTTTCTGGTGGAATTCTATCTGTTTCTGCTGCTTTCCTGGATTGCAGTAACTTTATGGCATGGCATTCAGGACTTCTGCTTTTGTCGGAGGCCTTGTGTTCACCGATAATTCTATGGCTGCTGATGTTATTTATGGACGAGTTGCGTTGGTTTCCTATAAACACTGGTATCCAAGCTTCCATCTTCTCCTTTTTCATTTTCTAGTTCATAAATGAATTGGATTGCATCTAAATATTGAGTTAATGTGTGTGAAGTTATTCTGGATGTGTTCTGACTTCAGCACAGTAAATGTGTCTAATGTCAAACAAACTTGAAGATCTACGGGCAAAATCCAACAAGTTGACAGAAAAGGCAGGGCAGTGAAGATGGGACTTCAAGTAAACGTAGAGAAGACAGAGGTGATGAAGATACCCAACTAACGTCACCACCACCAACAACAAGCACCAATCACCATGAACAGGAGAAATCTAAAGGAAGCAGTTTCTTTCACCTATCTAGGCAGCATCGTTTCAACTACATGCAGTGGCACAGACGAGGACGTCAAAACCAGGATCGGAAAGGCAGCAAGGCAGGCCTTCCTTCTTCAATCTCAAATCAGTGTGCAGGTCTACTGCAATGCATTCAGGATAAAGCGTGAACAACATCCGGATTTTCAACACCACACCACATCAGTCAGTCAAGTCAGTGCTTCTATATGATGCTTGAGAGACTCGGCGCGTCAAGAAAGGGCATTTCCAACAAACTTCAGACATTCATCAACAACTGCCTACTCTGACTCGTTACTCAAGCTCAGATGGATTGTCAGAGTAATGAGAATAAGCAAGGTGGAACTCTGGCTGGCTGGCTGGCAACGAACCAATGAAGCAAGAAGCTATCACTGAACAAATATGCACTGGAAGGAAGTGGAGATGGATTGGGTATACACTGAGAAGGCCGATTGGGGACATCACGTGACAAGTACTCCAGTGGAACCCAGATGGGAAACGACGAGTTGGGCGTCCGAGATGAGGGTGACATGGAGGAGATGGTAAGAGGAAGAAGTGAGAGCTTCTGGGCTGTCATGCAGCCAGGTTCAAAAGACTTCAAGGAAGAGACTGAAATGGTGACGTGCTACTGTAGTCCTATGTTCCACTAGGAACCCAAGGGACAAATAATAATAATAAATGTGTCAACCTTAGGTCACCACCTTACTTTTGCGGTGGGTTGGAATGTTTCTAGTTCTATTGTTCCCAACTATCGACAAACATGTCTGCTACGATTGGGGGATATTGAGGATCCCATCACTATTCCTTCTATTCGTCTAAATCTATTTTGTCTAGAGATTTCAAAAACTGTGGAAGTTAGACAGAGTTGTATCACTTGCATAATTTCTTCTATAGAAATGTTAGTTCTATTACTCAGCTCATGTTCAGTTGTGAGCTCACTTCTGACTACATCAAGTGTCATATTGACTGGTATTTTTGTATAGAGGTTAGTCACATCAATACTGACCATCTTTTCTCCCTTCTCTCCCTTTAGTCTCTTTTTCATTTCAAGTGAATTGATGAGCCTTGATTTTGAGCAATTTCTAATAGAGAGTAGTAATCAAGCAAAATATGTTGATGTGATTCTAAACTGAACTATTGGCCTAATAGGATAACCTATTTTATGAACCTTAATGGTATCACACATTCCATCAAGATTATCCTTAAAAATGGACTTACAAGTCTACAAAAATGCAGCCCATTGCTATTCTTAAGATACCTGTATCGATTTGCATAATTTGGGTCAGGCTTAATAAACTATTATTATTATTATTATTACTATTACTACTACCCACACTACTACTACTACTCACACCACTGGTACTACTACCATTACTACTATTACTACTACTTACACTACTACTACTACCGCTACTACTCACACTACTACTACTACTATTGCGACCACTACCCTTCCTACTACTACCATTACTAATAACACTACTACTGCTACTACCGCCACTACTACTACTACTAATACTACTCACACTACTACAACTACTATCACTGCCACTACTACTACTCACACTACGACTACCACTAATACTCACACTGCTACTACTACTCACAGTACTACTACTACTCACCCTACTACTGCTACTACTCACACTATTACTGTTACTACTACTACCATTACTGCTGATACTACCACTACTACTGCCTCTACTCATATTACTATTATTACTCACACTATCACTACTGCTACTACTACTCATACTCATACTACTACTACTACTACTACTACTACTACTACTACTACTACTACCACCACCACCACCACAACTAATACTCACGCCGATACTACTGCTGTTACTCACACTACCATTACTACTACCACAGCTACTACTCACACTACTACCACTATTACTACTACTACTAGTCTCACTAATACTACTCATACTACTCATATACTACTACTACTACTACTACTACTACTACTACTAGCACCACCGCTGCCACTAATACTACTGCTACTACCACTACCACTAGTACTACTACTACTCACACTACTACTACCATTATTAATACTCCAGTTCTTATCATTATTATCTGCTTCACTGAAACCGACTTGATGGTGTAACTTGTATTCCCGCGTCTTTGAGTGGACGGAATTCATGGGTGTCGACTGACCTACTAGCTCCTACGTGGAAGCCTCGATATTGTCCATATGTGAATTATATATTAATGATGGATAATGGGTAGTGGAATTCAGTTCGACGTACATTTTGTAGCTCTGAGGACTCATCAGCTGGATGTGACTGTCTCCCAGTGGATGAAATTGTCCTCATTAGGACTCGAACTGGGGACTGGTTGTTTCAAACACCAAAGGGTTATCCACTAGATCACGAATTCACGACAACTGCTTCTTCTATGATGAGTATATTTTTTACTGCACAGCTCATTGGAAGTAGCTTACAGTCTTTTATTGCATGGCAGGTGATTACACTTCCAATTCAAAACTTCTGTAGCCCTACCTAAGGCATACCAGTTATCTTTATGTAACTTCATGATATTTTTAATTCTTTTTCTATTGTTTAACCCTTTGTACACCGAAATCCACTACATGGTCTTCATATTTGTCACGTAGTGAAATTGCGTTGTCCAAAATGGATTCGAGAGCTCTATCTAGCAAGAAGGACAATAATTGAACAAGTTATCGACATTAATCATGTAATAACGACTGCATGGTATTGTTTTACAGTTACCCAGAGGGTGGTAAGAAACCGAGTTCATGTTTTCCCGCTACCTACATTTTGTTTGGTCACCAGATGGGGGGGGATGTAACCAACTTCATGTAGTCTAGTCTTAAGCGTTGACCAAAGTCAGTCGATTGTTTTTTTACAATATGGCCATCAGGCTAGGAGGCTTACCACTATGATTTATTGAGGGAGATATTGGTTAAATCCCGCTAATCGGTAGGAAGACAAGCCAGACACTAAAACAATAGACAAACAAGAACATGGTGGAGAAACTGTGACTACCAGTGTAGCCTAATCTGTCAACCAGTCGAATGGAACCCCCTCATTTAATGGGAACCCTATGCTACACTAAAAAAGCTCTTTAAGTGGACAGGTCACGACGTCCACAGCATCCATTGTTAAACATGGTGCGACTTATCATTTCTAATACATATGGGACAAGGTTTGTTCTAGACAAATAAACTGCAGTTTCAATTGATCGTTTTTGCGGTTCTGTTGAATAGACGACAGTGTTCATCCTGAATTGCCATCACTTGGAGAACCGTCGAAGGGGTCAGAGAAGTCAGGAGCTGTTTCGTCCTCACTTGGGACTCGGCAGTAGTGCACAACCACTATTTCTTGAGGTATCGAGTCCGGTATCATCAAGTTCTACTACGAGTACGTTACCACTCAGCCACTGGCTTGAAATTCAATGACTCATTGGTTTCGATTTCTGTCAATGCTTTGCTGATGACGGAATTCTACACTTTAGCGCGTATACTCACTGCCCACTTTCGATCGTTTATGACATCACTTGAGACAGACTCAGTTCACTAGCCTCATCCTAATGTAAATATATGATTATCGAGGCTGCAATAAAGTCCAAGTTATTACTGTACTCGGACTAACAGACTGAAATCCACTTTCCTCCTTAATCACTTCTCTGAGTTATAGCAATTCGGAGGGGAATGGTAAGTGACTAGACATATGACAGCCGTGCAGGACTCTTGATCATTTGGCTGGAGACAAGAATTTGGGCATCCATTGAGTCCAATAACTGAGTTGGCATTGTGCCACCTCCATGATCCAGTAGTCATTAGTTAGTAACAAGGTGGTATTCAAATATTTTTCTCCAAACAAAGTCATAGATCATTATTTTCTGATTGATTATTGATTCTAAACGAGACTAGTTAGGGCAAGTGAACAAATTTATTGTCTGTCAAGCCAGGGGAATACCCTAAAGAATATTCTGACTCAGGCAGTAGGGAAGGTAGCAGGAAAACCTCCATTTTTATGGGGGTAGGTGTACGGTCCAACAAGAATTTATGGTAGCTACAAAACATCTGACTACCACATCATAACACACTCTGCCAACATAGTTCCTATCATCGGTTTAATTGTGGCTCTACGGATAACATCTAGAGTGATACATGTATAAACATTGTTCATGAAAAAGCGAGACGACAGTGCTTTGGAACGAAACAGACTCTACAGAACATCAATTTCCTCATGGTTGCTTGACTGGTACAACTTTGACCTTCGCACCAACTGATACAAGCTAAAATCATCCAGGAGACACCAGGTTCGTAATGGATGCAGAGACCCAATGGTGATGAGTACCATGAGCCAAGAAATCAAGGTCGAACGAGACTTCTTGCTGATTGGTTCACACTATTTAAAATCATAACAACAGAATGCGCATTGAAGTTGGTGTTCATGAACCATCAGAGGAATCGAATGGCTGCTATACTGGTCAACGTAGTGTTGTAGACTATCTTTCCAGTTGATTTTGTAAATGATATTCGTCTTTTCTTCCTTTGTCAATGGATCTTTTGATTTAAACAACTTGTTAAGTAATGATTTCGTTGGTTTGTATACCATTTCAACGCCTAACTGATGAAGCTACCGGCTGTCAGTCTGTAAGACATCCCTCATTGAAGTATGAAGTTACTCACTTACGATTTAACGTAATTGAAAACATTTTCTACAGTTTGGCCGTCGGATTGCTCAAAGAAATCAGTAAAGTGAAATGATACACTCTCCTTGATTTCAATGCATACGGACAATTAAAATCGTAACTTCTACTGGAAGTATATGAAAAGGCTTGAAGCATGGTATTCCTACGGGAAGTCAGTCAACATACATGTGGATACAGACCCAATCTATAGTCTACGGTCATGCACCAACCAAGAACAAATTTATCAAGCAAGTTGCCGTTCCAGGATTGGTCTTCAACGGTGCCACAGTTAACAATAGAGAGTGAAGTGGTTGGGTGTGTCGACCACTTTAGTTACCTGGGAATTAGGATCAGCCCCGGTGGCTCAGTGCCCGATGAAATTTCTGCACGGATACAAGGGGCTCGGTTGGCTTTCGCCAACTTACGCCATCTATGGCGCCACCATGATATCCGATGGTCTATTGAGGGTCGCGCGTAAGGACAGCAGTCCGGTCTGTTCTACCGCATGGCTATGAAACGTAACCATTGAAGGTGGAAGATATAAGAAGGCTTAAGGTGTTTGACCACCGCCGCCTTCTTAGTATAGGTCGCATTCCGTGGTATCACCACGTGGGTAACGCAGAACTTAGGAGTAGAGTCTTAGGGAGAAGAGGTAAGTCGGTCGACGAGGTTGTGAACCTTCATTGAATGAGATGGCTGGTTGGGACACGTACTATGTATGCCTAGTCACCGATCGCCTCGTCACACAATGTTGGCTGAAAGTGGGTTCAGGCTGGAGAAAGGCCCAAGGTAGTCAGACTGAAACATGGCATCAATGCATGAAGTCTCTGATTGTTGATTTGAGCCATGTGGGGCAATGCAGACTGGGTGGTTGGGGTCCTCGGGACAAGAGAAACCAGTGGTGGAGACTCTAGGCGATATGGTTGAGAACCAATATCAGTGGCTCAGATGTATCCCCACACACATTATTCTCATCTTAACGACGCTATACAGAATCTCACCATTTTCTTATTCTTTTCTCTCTCTCTTCGTACTTTATATTTCTTTCGACTGAATTTTCTTATCTCCACCTTGCTCCTCGCTGCCTTTTTACTTGATGTAGTGATATGAGGTGTGGCTGCAAATTGGACCGTTACGCAGTAATACCTGGTCCTAGGTTTATCTTTTTTTTCATCAAGCAAATCAATAATACTAATCAATATGACGGTTAAAAATAGCACAGTTTCACTCCTTCGAAGATTCTCTGCCAGCACTATAAACTGTTGTGCGATAAAATGTTTTTCCATGGCTCCAGTTATGCCCTGTGATGGCTATACTGAGAAAAAAATATTAGGGATGTGAATAAATTAGGCAGTCTGTGAACATGTGTTCTTGTATGACACATTAACGTCAGTATGCATTGTTAAGTGTAAAATATCAGTATTCCGATGGTATTTCGACCCACTATTGATTGAAAAACAAACGATTGGACTACAGAAAGTGGTCTCGAACAGCAAATATAGTCTTTACACGAAGATGAAGCTACACTGGTAACAAGGTCAACTATTCTCCTCTGGTTCATTCAGAATCATATGGTTAGCAGTACATTGCATGTTAAAGCTTCGGTTAGTATTTTCTGGAGTGTTAATCGTTCAACTGTCCACCTATTTAACTGTGGTATATCAATTTAGTCTGGAATCCCCGGTTTTGATAAACGTGTGTTCATGAAAATATAAATGCCAGATAGGCATTGTATAGTTTTGACAGTATATACTTGTAATTTCCTGTTGTCGAACTGAGTCGATTTTATTGACCTGTGTTGTGAGATGAACTCTTATGTGGATACCTCCATACTGCGTCTAGTGTTTCAAGCGACGAATACTGTTTTCCAGTGTCAATGGGGATAACATCACTCACTGGAAGTCAGATGCATCCAGCTGATGAGCCTCGGATAGGACGAAACACACGTCAAACTGGATTTCACATTTTGAAAGCAAGTCAGTCATATATACTCAGTAGACTTTTGATCTCCAATAAATCAATTAAAGACTCTGAGACTTACCTTCACTACAGTCAACACCTTTGAAATCTGGAGTACATACACAGTAAGGTTTTGATTTAATATTATCATCCAGACGACATGTTCCATTATTTAAACACACTAGAGTACAATGTCCAATAGGATTCCAGGTAACTGAATTACTCAGTGTATTTTCATCATGTTGTACAACATTGACAAGTGTACTACCACCACTAATACTTGTGGACGATTGTTCAGCCCAGATAATAGTTAATATTAACGATACAAAAATCGATAAAATATTGATCAATATGCACATTTAAAAGGTTATAAATGCATATAATCGATAATGAATTCGTACAGTCCTTATGTGCGTTAATGTGTGTGTGTATTTTAGTATTCTTTTCAATTTCAAAATTTAAAATTTGAGCGTATTTAATAAAACTGTAGCGTCATAACTTTTTTCGATTGTCATTTTTAAATTATCATCAATATTGAACAATTGAATGATTGATTATTATTAGATAACCTGAAGTAAATTGTTTTTTAAATGAAAATGGATGATTCACGATTATTATTACAACATGAAACTAAATTAAAAGTAATTTTTTTCTAATGATTAATCATAGAAACAACATATTATATTCCTATAATATTTGGGTTCTAATTACTGATTGGTGGAATTTCTAAAAAAAAATCAATAATTGAGTAGATAATCTTTGAACCAATCAATAAAATGGTGTGCAACAAAATTAACATATGATTACCACTATCACTACTGCTACCAATAATAATCATAATAATCACTTTAGTAAGAGTAAACAAATAGCATTGTTTGTTTATTACTCTCTCTCTCTCTCTCTCAAAATAGTATGATCACACGCTTAAGCAGAAAACACATCAACGTAGTAAGATCATTTTCAACAATTAAATTAGCAGATTAGCACCAATTGAGCATTAGACAAGTTGAGTTCAACAAATTAGTGCTTGTTAAGTAGTAAAACTCTGAAAATACTGAATAGTGTTTCGTCCCAGTATGTGACTCTTCAGCAGCGCTCATCTACAACCTTGCCATTTAGGGATCGAAATCAAGGCCTTTAGGTCTCACAGCAAGCCCGTTACCGTTAAGCCACTGCTACCTGCAAAACTTGAGGGTTGTAGGTCCTGTCTCTGGAAAGTGAGGACAAAGGCATACACCGCTGGAAAGTCTCGAACTAGGACGAAATAGTTGTCCAGTGCTCTCAAGTTTATAATAATTTAGTCGATTATCTGCCATTTGAAACATTCCTTTTTGCTTGTGTAACAAGGATAATTTTACAGAAGATGAAATCCATTATGTTTACATAGTGTCGTGTATTTTTAAAATCAATTTTCTCTATTGATCGATATCGACAGGCAAATTATGATACTTGCTAACTTGGCATAATCGTCCGGTTTTACAGAATGGAACTCAGTACAACTAAGTTTTTTGAAGTGTATTTGATTTCCTGTACAAGTAAGTTAGCATATTTATCTGAACATTACCATGTCAGCGAGTCTGATGGTGTTTGATAGAATGTTGTCCTTCACTTTGAAGTGTAGTCTGCAGGCTAGAATACTCATCGTCACCGTATATCCTGACTCATGAAACATTTAGAGAAAAACTCATATTCCCTCACATATCTGACCCGTTATCATTCACGGGTACAGTCAGTGAAATTATCACCAATTGACTTAGTTGACCTTATGTGAGTCTAAATGAACTGTACCATCAGTCAGAAGATGCGTCCATTCTGAAGCACTGGCTTGTCTTCAGTCAGTCAGACAGTCTTCAGAAAGCTGAGGTCTGACTAAATCTTATGCTCCCTAATAATACTTAGTTAGAACTACCTACAATCATCAGAAAATGTGGTTTTTCTTGGGGTGTCGAATATATTTAACTGACTTACACATGGGTTATGTTCCATAATGACGACTTTTGAGTGTGAGTTGAAGTTTCTGGGGGAGGGGGGCTGGGGACGCCATTATTGATCCATGTATGTGTATATTTTGTAATCTCGTATTTCAGTGGATTAGACATCTGTCGTCTACCGTCAGGTTACACATTCAGACTCTGAACGTGACAATTATTGATCGATTGACTAGTCTACATAGCGCACACAACACGGATAATCGATATCGATTGGCATATTAGAGTTGAGCATAAAGTTTTAGGTATAACAAAAGGGGTCATTTGAAGAGGTTGTAGGATTTCATCATCTGAGGTGGTTGATGTAAGCATAGTAGTTAATGAACCAACTCACATTACTCCTTCAATTAAACACGATTCAGTTACTCAACGTAAAGTAAATTTCGAATACTCGATGGATGACGCATAAATTGTAGTGCCTCAATTTATTCCTTACGCCTCTGTATAGTTGAAATATTCTGATTGGATGTCTAGCGATCATTCCTATTGGACCAATCAGAATAAAGTGACTAATCGATTTCCGACCATATTTATAAACGTATAAAAGCTGTGTGTGTCTAATGTATTTTATACTGGGTGATGATTGAAGGTTACAGGGAAATTTGGACCGCGGCCGGGTTCGAACCAGCTACCATCAGGTTTCTAGCCTGACTCTTGACCAACTGAACTGCAACGTCTGAGTGTTGACCAGATTTTTTATTCCTTTCAATCATTAAGTATTTTGCCCTACTACCATGTGAATTCGTGACGTGTTACTACCGCTGGATCATATGCACATGGCTGCCTAGTCAGGACCTCTCATCCCAATCCAAATCCAACTGAATAGGCGAGGGGGAACATCATATTGATCATCATTTGACTATTTAAGATACCCGTGGTTTGGCAGACTTGTATGATACTAGATGATGACTGAAATTGTAGTGAAAATCTGAACCGTGACCGAATTCGAACCAGCGACCACCGGGTTTCCGGCCAAATTCCCTACCAACTGAGTTATAACGTCCAAATGTTGACCAGGCTTTTATTTTCCTGGTTCGAATCAAACTGCTGTCCAAATTTTTTATTTCACCTTCAATCATCATCCAGTCTGCCAAACTACGGATATCTTAGGTGAAACAAACATTTTCACAGCCGAGTAAATTAAGATGATAACATATGTATACAGATGAATAATGTGTTGGTGTACGAAAGTTCAACGAATAAAGAAGACGGGAATGAGTTTTAGTTTACTGAAGGGCAATACTACGTGTAACTCATCGAAACCTGCTCACGCCAATCCACGGACTACCTCGACGCGCCACCAGTGGATGAAGTCTCTGACTCTCTGTCTGAACTAGTAGGGGGAGGGGGGAGGATTTAGACTATCAGGTTAGGGTCCGCAAGCTGGAAGGATCAGTGGTTGAAAACTCTTGATCATGTAAAGGAAAATCGGTGACAGCAGAGCTGATGTATTCACTCTTGAAAATTCACCCTAACCCTCATCTTTTTAGATTGTTTATTCTCTCACACTACTTTGTCTACTTCGTTATCAATCCCTTTCTATCCACTTGTTATTTGTATACTACTGTCAAGTGTGACTACTTGAGATGGTGGACCTATGTGGGACGTTTTGTGATGATTTTGCTTGTTCGTTTGTGCGTCTGTCTGTCTGTCTATCAGCTTAACATAGCTGAAATACCACCGGCAGATTGATGAAACCTGGAAATTTTATCAAAAAAATTATATAGATACATTATTCTTCCCTTGACCTTCAGCAAGCTGAAGGTACCATTTTGACTAGGTTTAATTCAACACTGTACAAATGTATTCTGTAACTGTAACATCTAATGGAAATGTTTATTGAAAGGAATTTCCTACGCTCGGTCGAATAACTGGTGTCGGGATAGAGAGAAAAGCCTAGTCTAGAAAAGGACCAATCAAAATGCAGCATACTTCTATAGTAAATAGATAGATAGATAGACAGACAGACAATGAATCAGCCAATCAACAGGATTATTTTAAACAGCGAATTGTTTATATATTAGGTGTGTTATCCTTCGTTTTGGGCCTTCATTCTTCAGACCTCGATACACGTTTCTACACATCCATCGTATCTTCTCTGTAAATTACTTGGATTGGGAATCAACTAGGAAATAGTTGAATGTTGGTAGCTGATAGTTGATATCCGTGTATCATTAGCGGCCACAGCATTTTTCGAATCATATCAGTGACGATGGAAATGGGATATTGGGAAATGGACTCCTCGATGTTGTCCAGTTTCCTCGAACAACAAATGAGGCTTGTTGAAATAGTTCTTCAATCCAAAATTTCTGGTACTGAGCTATCACCCACTACGCCACTTTTAATAGCTTCTTCAGTTGATGGTGCTGCCAATGGCATCATTGAATTTCATTACGATCCTGATGCCATTGAGACATTTGGTGATTAGGCATTAATAGCACCAAGATGATTCTCGAAGGTACATCTCCTACTTCGAAAGCTTGGTCCACATGAGCTCGACCAACACTGCAGCATGATTTCGACACAAAACCCACTTGATCGCAATTTCTACGCCACACTCCAGACAATGAATGACATGTCTGCAGAACATCAACGACTGAGTAACTTGCAGCGTGATACGAGTTTAGGCTGATTCGGAAGCCATGGTAGTTTTGAGGTACATACAGTTCGCCAGACGCCCCATTCCTCCGCATCACCCTCTGGCGACACACCACCAAGGTCTCATCTCACTTGTTCATCTGTTCAAAAACTCGTGTGACACCAACTGATCCTCAAAGAAGACACCCTCATCACCTTGTTGATATTGTGGTGTCTGGTGATTAGTCAAATCTTGTTCACATAAACAACGTTGATCCCCGGACTGTAATGATGGATGCCATAGGGACAATTTTTGTCGCCAACACACACATCGACGTGTACAAAGGTCATCCTCCAGATGCCTCTGCAAAACTCGTTCTCGTTCAGTAGGTAAATTTCTTGGCTTGATAGCTTGTTTCCATGCTCATTCACCTGCTCACCGAAAGAATATGGAGAAGACTACTGATCTTCAGTAAACAAGACGAAATTCCCTCTACGTCAGTCAGATAGATGGAAGAAATGACAGTATGGCCCAGTCCGACCTCAAATAACATTCTTTCGAAGAGGCAGGTGATATTGGGATAGAGAGAAAAGACTAGTCTGGAGATGGACCAATCATAATGTACGTTGTGTTATCACTTCTACAGTTAAACAGACAGACGATGAATCAGTTTATCAACAGGATTATTTTAAACAGCAAACCATCTATATATTGGCTATAGTTCACTTTGTTTTTAGGTTGTCGGTCTTTCAACCTCAATAAACGTTTCTACACGTCCATCCTATCTTCTTCATTAATGAGTAGGGTGGAGAATCACCTAGGAAATTGTTGAATGTTGGTGACTGACACTAGATATCCTGGCGTCGTTAGAGGCCACAGCATTTTTAGAATCATAACAGCTACCTATTGCATTGAGGGTACACAACGAGTTGCTGAATGTTTCTCCATGTATGACTAACTGAATCTAGAATATATGTTGATTTCCTGATGAAATCTGATTGTCATTAAGTCGACTAGACAAGTCAAGGTTTCATCTTCAAATCATCTTTTTATCACCTCCTTTAAATGAATCGACTTGTTCATATAATGCCAGTAATGTTATGTCTGTAAGCAGCTTATAATCTGTATTATATTTATCGATCATAATATTAGAAATCGATCGATTTTGCCTTGACGTATAGGTGTCATTCAAGTTTTCTATTCATATGTTAGACAGGTAAACACAATTCTTTATTGAAGTTGTGGGTTTACTGATTTTTTAAAAGTTGGTATCCGTCATTAAGTGAGATTAGTTAGAGGAACACTGGAGACCTGGAGCAATGGACAACTGTTTCGTCCAACTAGTGTGGGAATCCTCAGCAGTATGCTTCCATAAATGAACACGTTACGGGATCGTTATCCTAACTATGAAAGCGAATGTGTGCAGTGGATTAAAAGAAACACTTTACACTGCAGCTATATCTCTCACCACTCAGACTATAATAGAGACAAGTGATAACGTTTAGGACATCAATTAGTGGCATCCAATCACTCAGTGAGTACATTATCAACTATGGGTGACTGAGTTCCATCTAGAGAAGCCTAAGGGGCCACTTTCTATGTTACAATACATAAATATACTACTTATATGCATCCTATACGATGTTCATATCCTATACTTATAAAATAGTGTCAGAATTCCGCCAAAGAGAAGTCAACCAATGATATAAACACCATCAAGAGACAAGAATGATAATAATTCTTGATAAATAATGAGTGTTTGCAGCTTGTCGTGAAAATCTTTTGAGTATATAGGCAAACTCCTAGAGAAGGGCGACCTAAGCCACTGCAAGAACTGGTGCGGAATCACGCTCCTGTCCACCCAAAAAAATATTAAGCTGCATCATTCTGAAGAGACTAAAGGATGCGCTGGATTCAAAACTACCACCGGAACAGGCTGGATTCAGGAAGCACAAATCATGTACGGACCAAATTGCAACGCTTCGCATCATCATAGAACAGAGTAAAAAACAGCAGTCAACTCTCTACCTCCACTTCATCGACTTTGAAAATGACCTCAATAGTGTCAACCGAGAAGTAATTTGGCAGTTGCTTCAACACCTTGGAGTACCACATACCTTTATCAACCTCATTCAACAGCTAAGTTATATGGCAACGCCACATACAAAGTAATTCACAATGGAAAGCTCAATGATGCCTTTGAAGTAAAGTGAAGACAGGAAGGAGTAAGACAAGGCTGTCTACTATCACCTATGATATTCCTGATTGTAGTCGACTCGACTGGATCATGCAACAAACAGTGAGGAGGAGTGAGAAGAGGGGGATTTGCTGGACCGATGAGAAGTGCCTAGGAGATTTGAATTTCGTCGATGACTTGTGTCTGATGTCACACAAACTCGAAGATCTACAGGTGAAAACTAACAAGTTGACAGTCGGGGTGAGGCAGGGCAACGAAACAGGGACTTCAAGTGAATGTAGAGAAGACAGAGAGATGTGATGAAGAAACCCAACCAATGCCATCACCACCACCACCACAACAACAAGTTCAAATCACTATCAATGGGAGAAACATAAAGGAAGTAGCCCCTTTCACCCACCTACGTGAACGGCATCTTTTCAACTACAGGTGGTGGCACAGACGAGGATGTCAAAATCAGTCATGATCGGAAAGACAGCAAGACAGGTGTTCATTAACCTGAAAGCAGTGTGGACATCTTCTTCACTGCACTCAGCATGAAGCGTGAACAACATCCGGATTTTCAACACTGTTAGTGTCAGTCAAGTTAGTGCTTCTATGTGATGTTTGAGAGACGTGACGCTCATGAAAGGCGTTTCCAACAAACTTCAGATAT